TAAATAAATAAATAAATAAAATCTTTAAAAAAAATAAATAAAAGGAGCATTTCAGCCTTTGAAAAACATTGCTAAGTGCAATTAAAATTCACATATTAGTAATAGGTACCCAGTGACAGAGGAACTGAAAGTCTTCGGGAACATACCCTGAATGGGTATATCATGTTTGTTTCTCTTCACAAAGTATCAAAATTGTTTTTATAGGATTTGTGAATAAACCTTATTTAAAAATTGACCAAAAATTCCTTTGAATATTTAATCATGTGCACAAAACAAAATGTCATATTTTAATAAATATAGTTATTCAAAATCAAGCCTTACATTTTGTAGGTTTATAACAAATAGCACCATCACTAAGAGACTTGCATTTTTCATGTCTCCAAATTCCTTTTGGATCCAAGACAACACAATTTCCAGCAGACGGTTTATCTTTCCATGGGATGTAGTCAAATGTACTGCCATCAGACCATTCAAAACTTGATTCACTTCCCTGTTTTACGAATAATAGAGATAAAAAAAGCTTAGGACTTTTTTAGCATAAGAATTGATTTTTTTAAAGATTAATAGAGATAACCTGATTCCAGACAAAAGAATGTTCAAAAATAACATTAAAAAGAATATATAGGGGCGCCTGGGTGGCTCAGTCGTTAAGCGTCTGCCTTCGGCTCAGGTCATGATCCCAGGGTCCTGGGATCGAGCCCCGCATCGGGCTCCCTGCTCAGCGGGAAGCCTGCTTCTCCCTCTCCCACTCCCCCTGCTTGTGTTCCCTCTCTCGCTGTGTCTCTCTCTGCCAAATAAATAAATAAAACCTTTAAAAATATATATATATATATACTTTAAGAAGTATTGGAATGGATTCTTAATTATTTGCTTACAATTGTTATCGGTCTGGACCTATTTGTAAAATAAGGGATTTACTTTTGATGCTTTGATTTGAGACATTTGTTCTGGTGCAATTTAAGTAGGACTTTAAATTTATGGACAGAGTTACTATACTCTGTCTCTAGATTTATTTTTTTTAAGGATGAGTTTATATAACACTTGAAATTAAATGATGTGCAAATGGCTTCCATTTGTTACAATACAGATTTATCATCCCAATCTCCATAATATCCTGAGTATTGTTTTTTACGTTTTATATTCTGCGATTTGTGTCTCTGGCTACATTTTTTCATGTTATGGAAGCCATCAAACAGCAGGGGGCTGGAAGAAGAAAATACTTCCCACAAAATTCATTTGGGAAGATTACTTTTGGTTTTCCCTTGATTCTATAATCCTAATGTGTCATCCTTTCTTTTGTTTTCTTCACTTTGTTCTAAAGATTATTACAATTAGGCCTTCAATTCTAATCTCAATAGATGCCTATTTTTGGTATATTGGACATTATTATAGGTACATGAATATACTAATTAATAAGATTCAAATAGTGGCACAAAAGATATGTTTACTACCAAAACATCATTCTCATATAGTGCAATTTGTAGGGGGAAAGTGAGAGAAGAAAATATACATTTATTAGTTCTAACATTAAGAATTTTATTTGGCATTTTATACAAATTTTTGTGTTAATCTTCACTATAATCCTATATTAAGGAAAATATTATCACCCCAGTTTTACAGATGAAGAAGAAATAAGCTTGCAAAGGTTAAATAACCTGCTCACGATCACTGAACATGTAAATGGAAGACCCGCCACTAGTACTGGACCTCAGGTTTTTCTGATTCTGTGCTATTCCTGTTTTACCCGCTTTCCAGTTGGTCTGCCCCAACTAGGTGACAGAGAGGTGTTGTTGAGATATTCATCTACTGGGCCCTTGGGATGGCCCGGGAGTGTCTAGGGCAGCTGCAGTCTGCCATTTGCCCTACTTCATTCTACAAATACAATTTTCTATTTGGTTTGTGTTGCAAAAAGGTAAGAAAGCACTATGCTGTGCAAATTGAGTCCCAGGACTTAATCCGATGTTATACTTTGAATTAATATCTTATGCTCAAATTTCCAACCTTCTAACACATTTGGAAAATTTCTGGAAAATAAAACAAGACTTACATCATGACTTGAGAGCCCAATCCATAGTGGAAATCCATCACGTTTTACGAGGTCTTCCAGAAAGAGCTGGCCATTTTGGTCATGAACACTTGCCAAATAACCTCCACTTTGAGAACACATGTTTAATGCTTCATACCATGTTACCTTTTTTTGTATAATATTATAAATACCATCTTCATATGGAATAAACTGTGGCAGAGTAGTATTATATTCTTCCTTGTAGTCAACTATAACATTTAAATTAAAAGTATTAGGGATTATATTTAAATTATTTAAAATACATATTTTGGACAGCAAAGAAATACAATTATAAGAACATATTATGAGCAACTATATGCCAGCAAATTAGATAATCTGGAAGAAATGGATGCATTC